CTTTCTTTCTTTTTTTATTTTTAAATTCATCTGTAGTCCTTACCATCTCATGACCAGAGTTGGCAAAAGTACAGATATTCTGTACTTAAGTAGAATTACAGATGCTATTGTTAAAAAAAAACCTACTCCAGTAAAAGTTGAAGTACCGATTAAGCTTCTTCACTGAAGTAAAAGTGAGAAAGTACCAGCTGTGAAATGGACATGCCACATCTCCTGGTGATTAATACATGAAGAGAATTGCCTTTCATGCATTATTGTTCAGGCTCAAATTGGTTTGTTGGACAAAGTCAGTTCAGCTTTGTCTTATAAACAAACTCAAACTGTATCATATAAGTGACCAAAATTCTAGTCAGAGTGTTAAGGACATTGTGCACCCTGTTTTGTCTGTTTCTTAGTGGTTAAAGTATACCTGTTTGTTTGGTGATGTACCATTTTGCACTGACTGGGTTGAACATGATATTGATGTTGGAGATGTACAGCCAGTTAAGAAGTGATTCTATCGCAGGTCACTGGAAAAGCTTAAACAAATGGGTGCTGAAGTTTCTTTTATGCTCTGAAATGACATTGCTTTTCCATCTATCCTGGTGCCAAAGCCAGATAAAACATTTTGTATAGATTTAAAAGTCAATTCTGTAACAAACTCTTTTCTGTTCCCACGAATGGATGACTGTATTGACCAGGTTGGATCGGCCACATTTTCAAGTAAATTTGATTTGCTTAAAGGTTATTGGCAGGTGCCATTGTAGGCACGGGAACAGGAAATATCACCTTTCACCACCCCTTTAGTTCCTTATTCTCATAAAGTCATACCATTTGGTTTAAGAAATGCTCTGGCAGCATTTCAGTGATTAATGAATAAAGCTGTAACCGGCTTAGAGGGTCACTGACAAGTAGGATGCTCATCTTCATCACATGCAAGCATTGTTTGATCAACTGGCTGATGCCAAGCTTACTATTAACTTGGCTAAATGTGAGTTTGCTAAGGTGATGGTGATCTATCTTGGCCGTGTGGTGTGACAAGGGCTTGTGGCCAATGTGACAGCAAAGGTTGCAACAATTGAGGAGCATCTTCCTTCAACAACAAAGAAGGAACTCCAAAGAGTTTGGGGTTTGGAGAGTTATTATAGAGGTTTGTTTTACTTTATTGATTTATTGATTTATATAGCACTCTCCACAATAATATAAAACAGATGAACATAAAACAGTACAGTCAAACTTACAGCAAAAATCTAATTAAAAGCTAGTCTAAATAAATTATTCTTAAGATGATGTTTAAAAGAATAAATACAATCCAGGCAACGTAAAGATGGAGGGAGAGAATTCCACAACCTGGGGGCCACCGCTCTAAAAGATCTATCACCTCTGGTTTTTTAAAACATGTTCGGGGCACTACCAACAGCCTTTGATTAGATGATCTCAGGCTGCAAGAGGGAGTGTGAGGCTCTAAAAGATCCTAAATGTAAACAGGAGCGTCACAATTCAAAACTTTAAAAGTCAGTGAAGCCTGTGAACTTCAAGTTTAGTTGATTTCCAAAGGCGTTCTGCTTTCCTAAAGAGTCAAAGTAAAAACCTTTCCACTGTTGTATTCCCACTGACTGAGTTGTTGAAGTGTGCGTCCTGCAAGACACATTGCCGCAGATCTCAAAATGGTGACGCGCGCCTAACAGTTTTATTACCAGCTCTCTCACTCTAGTCTAAACAACAGTGTCTCAGTAACTTTCCACTAGAAGATGGTCCCCTGTTATCTACTTTTTCCCAGGCAAGCGTAGACGAGAGTCTACAGCATTCTACGCCCCAAGGACATGTAGTCTAATGCCTTTATTTCAGGGGCGTGTCCACTTAATACTACACTATATGGTTATATGGCATTTTAGTTCATATAAAGCATAGAATTAAGGCACTTGAAATAATTTCATCTCAACAATGTCAGCTAGCGTTTGACAATGTAAAGCCTTTGTTGTGCTTCCCTCCTGTTTTAGCAGCTCCATGTTTTGATAGTGCATTTACAATCCTGGTGGATGCCAACCAAGTGAGCACGGGGGCAGTCTTGCTGCCGTTTGTGACAATGTGTCATCAATTTTCTAAATAAATAGCCCCCAAAAGTTGGTTTTATTCATCTAGACAGAATGAACAGTATCATTCTCAGCCTGAGAAATGTTACGTCATTCAACCAAATGACTTCTTGACTTCGAGTGACTGAAATGAGAAACTTTCAGTCACTATGTAAACATACTGTTCACAAGTAGATTTGCTTCTCCCACTGAAAACGTTACGTCCAGATGAACAAAATCAAATTTTGGGGATTTCTTTACCTGGATAATTGAGCATGTAACAAGACTCATTTCTAAAGGTGTTATTGACATGAAATTCTCACCCGATGTCGTCAACAACCCATCCAATTCACATGCAAAGACATCAACCCATATATGTCCATAAATTACATGTAATAATGAGAAATGACACAGGGGAGCATCCTTGCTGGAAATGTATTTAATACTTCATGCAAACGCCTTTCTTGGTGATGATAGCTTCAAGACGCCTCCTGTGTGGAGAAACTAGTCACATGCATTGCTCAGGTGGGATTTTAGGCAAATCGTCTACTGATAGATGACAGCAGATTTTCTTAAAATCAAGAATGTGTCATTACATTTTTCTATTCATCCTTCCTTTAGTTATAGGAAGCATGAAAAACAGCCCCACACTAGGATGTTCCCAACTCCAAACTGTTTGGGGTGAAATGCAGTGCTTTTTGAACTCCATGGTGTGTATTATGGTCTCCAGAAATTTCTGTTTTGGGCTCATCTTACCACAGAATATTCTTCTTCCAATATTTCACAGGCTTGTCTAAAATGTTTTTCAGTAGACATTAAACATTCTTCAGCATGCTTTTGCTTCAGCAATGGAGTCTGGTGTGGCGAGTGTGCATACAGGGCATGGCCTGAATGCATGACCTATTGTCCTCACCACCAGGTGGAGAACATGTTTCAGTGTTTCTATCAGACTTTTATCTTATTTTTGGTTCTGTTTTTTTTTTTGTATCTGTGTGTGCTTTTTAGCCCTTTACCAAAAATTTATTTTGCACTGATTTTAGTTACATTTTGAATGTTAAATACAAATATTTAAGCATCATAAACGTTTGCATTTGATATGTTGAACCTCACAGACTTTTGAAATCAGAGACCTATTACAAATGTGTAGCAAATCAACAGGTGAGGGGCAATTTATGTTGTTTTACATAAAGAAACAACACACAATGCATCATTCTATAACTCTTTTATTAGAAGTGGAACAGATATACTACTCATTGTGAAACACTGTTTCTTGAATACAGTGTTTTTACACTAAGGTAAGATTGCATGATGTAAATAAGAAAACAAGAAAATAATGCAAACAGACTGCTTTTTCTTTGTAAGAGACATGATTATCATCAGAAACAGAAAGTCTTAATAACGTTAACGAAAGAAAAAAAGTGATTTCTAATCAGCAGAGCTCACCCTCACCCTGACCATCATGATAGTACTACTTGGCACACATGTGGAGGCCTCAAGTGACCACCGTTCGGGGGACTTTACAGATACACCAAAATAGAGAATATGATTTGTTACAAAATGCCTTTAACCACTTAAAAAGTGTTTAGGGAGAGTTAGCTACTTATCATTGTTCATATCTCACCCATGTAAGGCTCTATGCAATGACGACCACTTTCACTGAAGCAGCACTTCTCATTATCGGGGCAGTCAATGTCATTAGAGCAAGATTCAGCACACCTTCTGTCATCCAACAGTCTGAGAGGACACACTCCCGGCTTCACTGAAAAAAATAAGAAAACATTAAAGACAAAGAACTTTAACCAGAGAGTGTTACACTTTCCCTCTGCAAAATATCCCATGAGGCTATTAAACCCCAGCAGTGATGGGAATAACAGCGTTACAAGTAACGGTGTTACTAACGGCGTTACTTTTTTCAGTAATGAGTAATCTAACGAATTACTATTCCTATCGTTACAACGGCGTTACAGTTACTAACAAGAAAACGCGGTCCGTTACTATTTTTCAACAAACAGACGGTTGAAGCTGTGTTCAGCTTACCGCATTTTATATCAATTGCACAGAAGTAAGTAATCTGGACGCTACAGCTTTAAGCAGCTGCGCGCGCTCCCGCGGACGGTAATCACGATCATTGTCTAGCACAACACCTGGAGCTAAGGGGGCAAAACAATTGCATGAGTGCTGCTGTTTGACTGAGGAAGAATAAAGTAGTCGTGGTGAGCCAATCACACCACCACTTAAAGACAAAGCAACAAGGTGATATATACCAGTTTTTAAATTGTGTTGATGGGCCACGTAAAACCAGAGTCATGATAAACAATATATACGCTGCGTTTTTTCCTCAATAGTTTCGTCACGTTTACTGTCTAAGGCACAGGTGTCGAACTCCAGGCCTCGGGGGCCGGTGTCCTGCAGGTTTTAGATGTGTCCTTGATCCAACACAGCTGATTTAAATGGCTAAATGACCTCCTCAACATGTCTTGCAGTTCTCCAGAGGCCTGGTAATGAACTCAGGTGTGATGACCCAGGGTGAGATCTAAAACCTGCAGGACACCGGCCCTCGAGGCCTGGAGTTCGACACCCCTGGTCTAAGGGCAGCGCTAGCAAGCACTCTCTGCTTATGAGCAAAAAAACAAACAAATTATTTTTTTGGAGTGGCACAAATAATTTGTGTGGCATCTTATTGAATGCAGAACAGCTGATTGTTCTGTAAATAGTTTGAAATGGTTATTTGAAAAATCAAGGTAAAAAGTAAATGGATGCAAATAACGTTGTTGTTTGCAAAACTTGTGCATAGGATTTTAAAACTGACTATTTATATTTGCATTTAAAGTTATGAGATATGATTCATGTTTGTGGTTGTTACAGTAAAAAATATAACTTTTCTACTCTGATTTTATGTTTTTGTCTGATTTTAGATCAGTTGTGTTAATACAGTATGTCAAAATAAAAACATAACTGTAAATTCAGACACGTGAGGTTGTGCTAAAAAGAATAATACCAAACAAGACAAAGTAAATAGTTTTTAAAGGTAAAATGTCGAGGTAAAATCAAAAGTAGTTAAAAATGGCCAATTATACCCTGGACCCCAGAGGGTTAAACGTTTTTTTTAAAGTAACGCAATAGTTACTTTTCAAGTAATTAATTACTTTTAGAATATTGTAACTCAGTTACTAACTCAGTTACTTTTTTTTAAAGAAGTAACTAGTAACTATAATTAATTACTTTTTGAAGTAACTTGCCCAACATTGAACCCCAGTGACCACGTGGTTGTTTGCAGCATCCAAACAACCGCATGGTCATAAAGAAGAACCACTTTTCACAACATGATCCACAACTCATCATCTTTTATCTTCTCTTTTTTCTTAAAAATAAAAATACTGTAACTAAGTTACTGCTGTAACTTTTGAATTTCCCCAGTGTGGGATTGAATAAAGTGTATGTCGAGCTGTTTTATAAGATGTGATACAAAAGATATGCTGTAAACAGTCACTTTGTTCATTTCTCACCTATGTAAGGTGCCATGCATTCATGTCCACATCCATTGGAGCAGCACTTCTTTTTATCAGTGCAGTCACTGTCTTTAGAGCAAAATTCTACACATGGTCCAAAGGTTGGGGGATGCCTGAGAGGACACACTCCTGGCTTCACTGAAAGGAAAACAAAGTCAGTATAAAGATATTTGGAAATATGGACTTGAAGCTGTAAAGCCAGAAAGAAGTGTGATCAGCTGTAGGAAATGAGGTATGAAGTCTGTGATTTGTGATTAAAAAATGAACCAAAATCTTATCTAAGAGTGTGTGACAACTATGAAACATTTTATTGTCTTTTTAAGACGATGTGTACTCAGCACTGTCGTCTGATTCAATAATCATTTCTACCCTGCGACTCATTATTTAACTTTTTTTTCACCCTAGTGATCTTTAGTTCAAGTTCTTAGCTCTCTGTTTTGCCCTGATTCTGTTTCCCAGTGGGAGGCTACTGTACCTCATACTGGTGATGAGGTACCATCATGATTAAACTGTAGTTTTAAGTCAAATTTACAATTTATTCTTCATATACATGATACAGATGATATAATAAACAGATATCCTGTAGGTCATTTTCACTTTGGGGTGGTCTTTGCTGCTTTGTTCTTTTTTCACCTATATCTGGAACCATGCACTCATGTCCACATCCGTTGGAGCAGCACTTCTCACTATCGTGGCAGTCACTGTCTGTAGAGCAAGACTCAACACATGGGCCAAGGGCTGCGGGAAGCCTGTGAGGACAAAATCCTGGCTTCACTGAAAGGAAAACAAAGTCAGTCAGAAAATATGGACTTGACGCTGTAAAGTGCGAAAGAAGTGTGATCAGCTGTAGGAAATGAGGTGGGAAGTCTGTGATTTGTGGTTGCCAAATTGGTTGCTGAACAGAAAGCAAATGAGAAAAAACCTACATATTTAGATATAATACAAAGCTACTTTGTTCATTTCTCACCTATGAGGAGAAATGGAGCCATGCACTCATGTCCACATCCGTTGGAGCAGCACTTCTCATTATCGTGGCAGTCACTGTCTTTAGAGCAAGATTCGGTACAATCTGCACGTATGTAGTACCTGACAGGACACACTCCTGGCTTTGCTATTTAAAAAAAACAAGAACATCTATTTAGACAAGGAGCTCTCGAAAATGCAAATGTGGCTTTTATTAGAAGAAACTTAATTTTTGTACTACCTCGAGTGCTTTTATTTAATGAGATTGTTCACACACACTCTTAAGAAGATATTAAACATTGTAACACGTACTGAAAACAGGAGGGACACAGACTTTTCCACCATCATAGTTACAGCATATGTGGTCTCTACAATAGTTGTCATTCTCATACATTACAGAGCAAGATTAAGGTGCCATGGGCATTCTTCTGATTTTAGAAACAATCAATAAGTAGACAGATTGTAAACTCAATACAAATCAAGACAAAGGAAACTCACCTGTCGAAATGCCACCTCTTCTCAAAGCATGTGCGTGAAAAATAGTGCCAAAGTGCGGAAATGCACAAAGTGCTACAATCAACACATAAACTGTAGATGACAGTTTGTCCATGTTCACCTCTTGCTCCAAAGATTGTGCACAACCACTGACTGAACAGGCCAGTTAAAGGATGCCAGATCCTTGTGTGTTTAGAGTTTTATTCTCTCTAATAAGGTGTCATATCAGGCACATTTAAGGTTGATTTTTTTGTTCTTTTTGCTCACATGATGATATGAATCTTGTGTTTACATATTAGTAATGCAACAAGACAGACTTCAGTATCTTCTTTATCCAGCATGACGACAACCACATGGTCATAAAGAAGATTAACACCGCTTCAATGTTAACTTCTTTTCATAGCAATAGACCTTGTTGGCACCCAAGGTTTATCGTTTCTTAGAAATAACATATTTTTGCTTGTACTCTGAAATCTAATTGTTAATCTCTTGTTCAGTACTTTATGTCCTTGTTAATGTTTTTAAAATCATTTGTTTTTTGGGGGGTTTTTTTGGGGGTTTTTTTGTTTGTTTTTTTGCCTGTCCCATTTGGTTCTTTAGCCATCAGAATTGTTGTCTGAAGACCAACAAGGATACCCAATGGATTTACTTTGCCAAATGGATCATCGTGGCATTGCCGTATTGGTCCATTTGATCGATCTTTGTTTTTATTATTTATTATATTTTATTTTCAGATGTTACAGAC